GCACGGACACGCTCGTGAAATTCCTCTCCTCCCGGTCGGCCGCGCGAAACAGCCGGAGGACACCCGCGGAATTCAAGCGACCTTGCGCCCGTTACGCGAAAAGAAAGCAAAAGCAAACAACGTATGGGCGTTCTCGCGCACTTTTCGCATCGCGAAATCCGCGCGAGCGCGCAGTCGCTATGCATTCGGCGCACAGAGCGAAGGTTCGTCTGCGCATTTTGGTAATCGAACCTCGCATTTTGCGGCACGAGACACAACCGAATTCGTCGACGGGGAAAAATAAGGGGAAGCGGCTACCGGGGGAACCTGACGCGTGCTGGTGCGGTGGGTAACGACGAAAACTCCACGCGGGCTCGCCGCGTTATTTCGCGCGTCATCGACAAATTAGCGTGTTTACCTACGTCTCTATCGAAAGTTTCTCGATCGAAAGATCGGGGTTACAAGAGCGGCCTCGCGCTCGCTCCTCTCTCGTGTCTGTTTCCCGAGTGCTCGTCGCGAAATCACTCGACTCGAGCACTTCGTCGCGTTCGAGGCTCTCTTAATAGCGCTCTTCGCTCGCGCTACAATTATTATATAATAACGAAGCGAGATATTAAAGCGCCAGCGGCCGATAGGCCAACATTCGAGCGCTAATGGTCGCGTTTAACAGCCGCGCCAAGTCGCGAGCAGGTGAGAGCGAGAGAGCGAGAGATCGAGCCTGTCTCTCTCTCTCTCTCTCTTTCTCTCTTCTTCCGTTTCTTACTACGAGAGCAAGGGCGTACTTCCACGAAGAGAGCTAACGAGGCGGTCAGGTAGATACTCGTCTCTAACAACCGCTCGTAGTAACTCGCGCACGGCCGGCAGAGACAGAGTGGAGACGGTGGATGCCGTCTCTCGATAAGCATCTTCGATATGTACAATAACCGAGGGAGTCGGCGGGGCCGCGAGAGAGCCCGATCTTTCATCGGCGAGATCAGCCTCTCGACGTCGCGTGTTACTCAAACCCCCTCGCAAACTATGTCGACCGGGTGCGGAAATTTCGAAAAAAATCCGATGCGTCAGCATCGCAGCAAATATTCAGCAGCAAGATTTTGCAACTTGTTATTTCTTGATCGAACATTGCCGCAAAGCGATTGTCTTGTTCCCCCGCGTTTGTTTTCTCTTCTTTCTCTTCTTCTTCTTCTTCTTCTTCTTCTTCTTCTTCTTCTTTTTCCTCCACCACGATCTCACGTTCGGGCGCATCCGACGGAAAGAATGCCTCGCTCACCTATCGAGCAAGCATCTAAGGTTTCCTTCACGGTGATCATTTCGCTTCGTTATCTGTCGGATTTCCCATGCGTGAGACAGTGCACGACTGCCGCTGGAAGAACTCATCGATCATCGGCAGAATGCGCGTCGGGCACGATGAGCTCTCGAAAGGTTCAAACGTCGCCGCGGCCTGAGGACCCACTTGACCTTGCATGATCAGACGCACGTTCGCTGCTGCCTCTCTCTGCCACGTGTGTGAAGTTGGCCCCGCACTTTTCGAATTTTCTATTTTTTTCGAATTGCGCTGCATTGTGCTATGTTTGTTGTGCCGCGATCCGCAATTCTGTAACTCGAAGCGTACTCGAGAAAATGAGAAAAAAAGAAAAAACTAAATTTTTGGCAGCCCAATCCGGCGCAACTTTCGAAATTTCCAAAAAGGTGAAAACATTTTTTGTGCGTCACCAATTTTTGCAAATTTGTTTTGCAATCTGTAGTAGTTTTCGATACATCTCTAAGTGGTTTCTCATTGCACTCAATTAGCACAATTCAGCACAACTTGCAGACTTGCGATAAATGCATCGTAGAAAAAGTTATTTGTTAATTTGTATTTTAACTTTAACATTTCCTTTCTGCTGAACGAAAGGAGATATCCAGTATCTCCAAACGGCACAACGCGGCACAAATTAGTAGGAATTCGCAAACAAAAATTGAGTTCATTCGGACAAAAGCAGGTGCAGGGCTGGCAAATTTTCGTTCTTATTTCTTTTCTCAAACGTTATCGAAGTTATCGGTCTCGCGCGTTTGCGACACAAATCAGCGCACAAATATAACGCGATACGGCATAATAAAGAGAAACTCAAAATTCGAAAAGTGCGGGGCTAGCAAAAATTTAATTTTTTCTTAATTTTCTTGAGTACGCTTTGAGTTACAGAGTTGCGTATTGCGGCACAATACGGCACAAAGCAGCACAATTCGAAGAAATACAAAATTCGAAAAGTGCGAGGCCAACTTCACACAGACACACACACACACACACACGTGCCTCTGCTTGGCGATAGTTCAACAGTCTATCTACACATCTTGCTGTTGAAGAAACGACCGTAAAAGTCTTAGCGGGGAATCTACCACTGGGACCGGGCTACCGAGATACCGTTGGATTAGAGGAGATAACGGAAAATTTCGAGGATGCCCAACATGTCTAACATCTGAGGCGTGTAGCCGCGCCGTTAACAACGTCTCGCGTCTACGAAAGTGGTCTGACAACCGATAGCGGTTGTTTTATCAGTAATTGTCTACACTAATTGCGGCCAAGCCAACTCTCCTGCCCTCTTCGATCTATCGCAGCCTCGTTGAGTGTTGAGATTAATTTTAGCGCAGTCAGGATCGTGATGAGATCAATCACCTGTGATAAGGAACTCAGGAATGCGGATTTTACCGACGTGTTTTCGCTCCGTATCTGACGCGCAAAGATGAACATCTCTAGCTTTCGTACGGCGAGAGCAAGGGTCTCTCTCCCGAGTCTCTCAAAGTCTGTGTCTTCGGTATATTTTCTTCTCGTGTATCTCACCAAGTACTTGAAACATCAGAAGATACTTCATAGAAAGACGCTTCTACGACTCGCGGCAGAAACGTGTCTAATTAACGGCGCTGTCAACGTTATGAGAAATCGGATACGAGGCGGGGAGAGAAAGAGAAATATGAAGCATCGAGCGAGAACAACAGTAACCGACGGTTTGCTCGTGAAGAGCCGAAAGCGTAGAAAGCCAAGTCACCGGCTTTTACCTAATCACGACGGGGTGAGTCCGGGAGGCATCATCCCGAGAGGAGCGATCCAAGTGGAGAGCTATCTTTCCCTCCCTTCCCCACCCTCCCCTCTCTCTCTCTCTCTCTCTCTCTCTCTCTCTCTCTCTGTCTCTCTCTCTCCGTGTTCTCCTCGTGAAAGCGAGGCATTCCGAACGAGGTTCATTCGGTTCGGGAACGAAGGAGTCGGTTCTCGGTTTTCGAGGAGGCCTCTTCACCTCCTTGCCGCGGTGTGTCGTCGAGCGCGCGACACACGCACGCACGCACGCACGCACGCACACACGCTCCCAATGGTGGGCCTTCGATATTTACCAGTGATTCGCTCGGTCAATACGCGCGTGTGTCCGTCGACGGACACATGCAGATGTGTGCACGCGCGCGCTCTCATGACAATCCTCTTCATCTTCCTCTTTCTCTCCGCTCGCGAAGAGTGCGCGAGATAAAGTTTTTCTCCCACCCTCCCTGATGATCCGTGCGCGGGTGCTCTTATCCTTCCTCTCTCCTGTCTCGTCTGGTTCAACCCGACCCAGCTTCCCTTTTTGTCTCTCGCTGCTCTCTTCGGAGCGGCATCTGTACCCCCGACTCTCACCAAGCCGAAGAGAGTTTACGAGCTCCTTCTACAGATAACCCACTAACAATCCCCGTTGTCCTCCGTCTTTCTCTCCCCTTCCCTCCCCCCCTGTCCCCCGCTGTCTCTTTCTCTCTGTCTTTCCCAGGGACCATGAAAGCCCACCACGTCGCGCTCACAGCTACCTCCTCGCGAGATCCTCGCGCGAGAGCGCATCGCGACTCGTCGCTCGCACGTGGCATTCCGAACGCGTCGATACATCAGTCTAAAATTGGCGCGATACATCCTATGAGGCGCGTCTTTGTATTGTTGTCTTGTCCGATCGCTACGACCGTGCGCGATTTGTCTCGCTTGCGAGCGAGAGCACTTCTGAATTATCGTCGCGATTATTGCTGGCTGCTCGCTCGCCGTCTCTCTGTACTTGAACTATACTTTTTTCTCTTTAAACTTCTTTAATTTTCTTTTTTTCTTATATCCTTTTTCTTTCCCTCTGTAATCTCCTGTTGTCGCGTTGCGGAGTGTACAAGTGCCTGTAAAAATTACGAGAAATTCGCTTCTCTTCCGCGGCGGAGCGCCGTTAACGAAAACAAACGCGCTATCTAACATCCAACAAATAACCGCTCTCTCCCTCCGTCTCTCTCTTTCCCTCTCTCTCTCTCTCTCTCTCTCTCTCTCTCTCTCTCTCTCTCTCTCTCTCTCTCTTTCTCCTCTCGTCTCTCATCATGTGCGCGAGTCCTCTCTATTCGCGTCTCGCGTGTGCTCCGTTCTCTCATCTCTCGCGAGCGCCTCTCTCGTCGCGCGGCGATACCTCCACCGCCTCTCCCAAGGAGGAAGCCCGCTCTCCGCGACGTCCTCCTTCTCCTCCACCTCTTAACCCGCGACCACTGCCACCACTACTACCACCACACAACCACCGCCGTCGCCGCCGTCGCCGTCGCCGCCGCCGCTGCCACCGCCACCACCTCCACTACCACTACCACCGAGTTCACCACCTCCACCACCGAGTCCACCACCTCCCGTTTTCCCTCCTCCTTTCTACTGTCCCTCACTCTCTCTCTCTCTCTCTCTCTCTCTCTCTCTCTCTCTCTCTCTCTCTCTCTCTCTCTCTCTCGCCGGCGCGATCTTCGTTACTCCGCGAATGCACGGTGGTGGAAGTCACAACGGAACTTCAGTGCAGCTGCGGCGAGCAGCTGACGCGGAATCATTCAGTTTTGCAGTATAGTTCGTGCCGCGTACGCGACGCCACACGAACGTCAGGGACACGCATTCCCGGTGGACACGGTCCGTACCGCTCGCGAGCAGGACGGCCGAGATTCGCGCGTGTCTCTGCATTCGCCGCAAATGAGCTCGCGTCGCGAGTGCGTGCGAGCGAAGGAAACGCATCTATTCCGCCGGCCGCTTCTGATCGCGGCCACATCGGCTGCGCCAACCGATACGGTGTGTGTCGTTACGCGAATCCGCGGCGAGGTGCAACATCATTACCATCATCATCAGCAGCATCATCATCAGCAGCAGCAGCAGCAGCAGCAGCAGCAGCAGCATCATCATCATCATCATCGTCATCATCATCGTCATCATTATCGTCATCATCATTATCATCATTATCACCACCATCATCATCATCCTCGTTATCACCATCATCATCATCATCATCATCATCATCACCGTCGCGGTCGTCGGCGTCATCGGTGGCTGTTGTCGCTGCTACGCGACTATCACGACGACGGTTGCTGAGGAGGCGGTTGCTGTCAAGAAGCAGGACAAGTACGAGCGGACGAGCATACTCGCGAATCGGACAGGTGAGTACGAGAGATCCGTCTCCCCGAGTTCGCCGGGGGGTATCGACGTCTCGTCGGGATCCTCTGAGACATATCTGAAGGCTCAGCACGTGAAACGGTTGCCGGACGCGAAACAATTGTCTTCCCGAGGGAAGTCTGTCGGGGGACGATTGGTACACGTGGCGAATCATTGGCGAATTAACGCCAATGATACAACCCCCGCGATACACCCGCGAGGAGTAAACCTAACGAAAATAATGCAACGAAAAATGACCGGGAATTATAACACGGATGCGGAGAGAGAGGGGCGAGTACGTCGAGAACCTCGATAAGCGCTCACGAAAGCAACGAGCGTGTTTTGTAAAATATATCGCCACGTTTTTCTTTTGCATTTGGTTATACTCCGATTAACAATATATATCCCAGTATGCCGCCGAATCAACTGTTGACATTTACCGGGGGATTAAAGAGTCGACGCTCCGTCGAGTTGTCGAGAGACGTATTCGCCGCAATACTCACAAAGAGACGGTTCTCCCATAAATCTCAGCCGCGTAAAGCCGTTCGAAAGATTTCTCGTAGCGCGTTCAGCGCGACACATCAGGATAATTAAAAGTATCGAGAGGAGGATACACTCGACAGAGAGAGAGAGAGAGAGAGAGAGAGAGAGAGAGAACGCGGATTACAGCGCCTGATGGATGGATGGATCGAGCGAGCGAGCGAGCGAGCGGATTTTTAGCACGTGATATCACCACGAGGAAAGCAAACGAGCGTAGCCGCGAGGATACGAACCCCCGCCAGCGAGACACGTGCGAAGGCGGCACGTGATTCCCGTTCGATGACAGCGATTTGGATCCTCTAACAAAGTTTCGACCGCGTCGCGCGTTCCTCGCTAGGCCTCGTCCGTTGCCAAATGTCGCCGGCCGATATTGAATTTTAATGCTTCTCGCGCGAAAGCGCGGCGGCGTTTAACACGAATCGATCGAAGGCGTGTGAGAGTCGTCGTTTTTTTCGAGACGTTCGGAGATTCAGCATGCGACTCGGGACGCTTCACTCGCCGAGATACCGGGATATTTTGTACTCGCGTCGAATACGGATACGCGCGCGAGACCCTTCTAATCCCCCGAATTTGGAACGCGTGAGTCACGAGTTTAGCGAGACGCGCGCCATCAAGTATCTGTCTCTCTTCGTCTTTGTTTACGTCAAGCGCGTCTCGCATACCATCCCAGTGAGACTTGGCTCCTTCCGTCGAACGCTGGGAAATAATGTTCAACGTTACGCACGTGTGTGTGTGTGTGTGTGTGTGTGTGTGTGTGTGTGTGTGTGTGTGTGTGTGTGTGTGTGTGTGTGTGTGTGTGTGTGTGTGTGCGCGCGCGCGCGCGTGTGCGGAGAACGGAGAAATTCGCGAGACTTGTCAGCATCAGCTGTTTCGTCAGATTCGCAGCGCGCTCGATCGGTCGATCGCGCGTGACCGCGGCAGCACTTTCAAAAATGATCGCCGTCGCCGAGAGAGAAGCTGGCGTGGTGGCTCGAGAAATGCTCGAGGATATCGCGTGGGTGCGACGAGGAAAGGAGAACACGCAAGCTCGCGAAATCAATCGCGCGGACGATCTACGGTCGCGGAGCGATCGGTTTCAACGCGCGTTCGGTCGCTTCGTAGGCGGCGGAATGTTCTCTCTTGTCTCTGAGAATCGGCGGGACGTTTGGATCGTAGGAGAGCTTGTCGGCTGTCGTGAATTCGATCCGTCATCTTCTCTCAGGGAAACTGCGTATTAAACGAATAAGTAAACATCTTACCCTACCTGCGAAGGCAGCAGCTAATCACGCTCACGACACGGCGGGGAAGTCCGATCGAGTGCAATTAACCGATTGGTCCGATCGAATCAATCGAGGCGCGCACGAGAAAGAGAGAGAGAGAGAGATTACTGCTTTAATCGTTTATTCGATCAATACGCACGGCCGATTAATCAATCGACAGGCATAAACCAACCGGGGCTCGCTCGCTCGGTGAATCAAGCGAAATCGATAAACGGATAACAATTTAATCGACAGATCTCGTGTGCGCGAGCGAGATCTCACCTTCGATCGACTCAAGAGCCACCTCGCGCGGGGAAATCATTTCGAAAGGAATCATTCGACACGATAAATAGCCTGCGAATGTTGCGTGTGTAGAAAGAGACGGAGAGAGAAAAAGAGATCGATTCGAGATCCGCGCGCGGTGTCCCTAACCCTCATCTCCTCTCTTCATTCTCGACTATTCGTTCTTCGGAGCTGTTCGGACTTGAGAACGATTCAATTGAAATGCCGAGCAGATCCGCGATATCGTCTCGATTCCATCCCTATGGCCGCACCACGCACGCACGCACGCATGCACGCACGCACGCACGCACGCACGCACGCACGCACGCACGCACGCACGCACGCACGCACGCACGCACGCACGCACGCACGCACGCACGCACGCACGCACGCACGCACGCACCGCACGCACGCACGCACGCACGCACGCACGCACGCACGCACGCACGCACGCACGCACGCACGCACGCACGCACGCACGCACGCACGCACGCACGCACGCACGCACGCACGCCGCACGCACGCACGCACGCACGCACGCACGCACGCACGCACGCACGCACGCACGCACGCACGCACGCACGCACGCACGCACGCACGCACGCACGCACGCCGCACGCACGCACCGCACGCACGCACGCACGCACGCCACGCACGGCACGCACACGCGCTCGCCTATCGGGCCTTTCCTCGCAGCACGCACCTGTTACGTTGTGTTGTCGTTCCGTCGCGGCGTGGCTGGCTGCACGCGACAGCTCGTGCCACTTACTTCCAGTTACCTCTCGGCACTGTGAGCCGTCGGCCGCGTCGGGCTCGACGGAATCTCGCCGTGGAGACTCGACGATCCACGAGTCATGATCTAACCGTAAGATCAAAAGCGTTTCGCCACCCAGTCGGACGCCCACACTTCAGGTAAAATAGATAGAGAATTGATCGAGCAGGAGGGCGAGCGCGGCGGAAGCGCGTCGCGCCGCGCCGCGCCGCACCGCGAGAGAGAGAGAGAGAGAGAGAGAGAGAGAGAGAGAGAGAGAGAGAGACCGACGTGGGATACCGCGCGCGCGGAGATGATGACGGAAGCGGATCGAGCGCGTTCCTCGGCGTGCTCTCTTTTTCTTCCAGCTCGGACTCCTCGGCAGACCAACGTTGCTTTCGTTTCAGATCCGGGCTGCTCGATCTTATCGCGAGTTCTTTGAGGTAAAAGGAACGAAGGAGAGAAAATTGTGCGTCTCGCAAACGGAGTCTCCGTAGAAAAGGAGCCAGGAGAGTGTGATTTCGATCTCGATCGCTTCAAGCGTCGTGGAAGAGTAAACATTTCGCGTGAGTGTGAGAGTGTGTGTGTGTGTGTGTGTGTGTGTATGTGATGAAAGGGCGAGTCACAATATATCTCTCAGCTTCGACCTTTCCAACGGCGAGCAGCGTTAGAAGAATCAGTACGCGGCGGATGGAGCGTAACTCTAGCCGTTACAAAAGAGAGAGAGAGAGAGAGAGAGAGAGAGAGAGAGAGAGAGAGAGAAGAGGCAATCGAAAGCGTGATATTTCGGGCAAAATCAGTGGAACGCATCCGATTTGAGAGTCTTGAATGAAATTCAAATCTCACGGCTCGCTCTCGGAGAGCGGAGATCTCGCGACACGTAATGATGAAAACAAAGATGGCGCGAGTCCAGCCCTCGCGCGTAAGTAAGAAGAAAACGGCGACGAAAATTCCTACGGAGATTATACCGGATTTAATGGCCGGGTAACACAGCGCGAGGCACTGTTCGAGGAGGAAAGAGATCGCGATCTCCCGAGGACGATCTCCGCGAGAGCAGCGTCTTCTTCCTCGGAGGCCTCGAATCGAAGCGTGTGAGCGCGAGCGAGCAAGATGCGAGGTCGAAGCCTTCCTTCTCTCGGTCTCTCTCACCGTCTTCCTCCCGCTCTCGATCCAGAGGAACCTACCTCTCTGCCCTATCTCTCTCCCTCGCTCTCTCTTTCTCTCTCTCTTTCTCTTACCTCTCTCTGCACGCATGCACGCACGCCTTTCCACTCGCGCGCGCATACACACACGCACACACAGTGTCTCTCCGGGCCGTCCTCGCACGCGTCTCTTCCAGAGCGCGCTTTTACGCGACCGCGGGAAGACCCACAGCGATTTCGACTTTCACGGGATTTTGGAAAAATGAACAGACGGGCGGGAAAAGGTCGAGCCACGAGACAGGTGGGACGATGGAATTGAGGAAATTTGTTTTAGAGCGTAAAAGAGAGAGAAAGAGAGAGAGAGAGAGATGCTGCCGCCGTTGCTGTATTGAGGGATAGACGCATGGCAATATCGGAAAATCGTCGGCGTGTCTTGTTACTTTGCTGCCAAGTAATCGTATCGCGATGCTACGTCTCACTTTGCCTGATTTGTCACGTCGTAAATCGCGCATACATCAGCGACGTCGCCGCCGGGCAACCGGATGCGCTTAAGGGCCAGGCCGCGGCAAGTACGAGAAATTACGATCTTGACGTTCGTAAATCTCGACGCTGACGTAAAAAGGAAGCGGATCGTTGTCGTTGAACCTCCATTATCTCCGTTCCCTTACGTCCTTGCCTACGTAATAATTGGCTCTCCCTTTTTACATGGTACAACACTTGGTCGGGAAGGAAGAAGAAGGAAAAAAGACCTACTCTCACGGAACCGCGGCATCACGCGTGAACCGTAATTATTGACGGCGACGTTATCGTCGTGTGTTGATAACACGCATACAACACACTACGCCTGTAGAAGCACGAATAGAAGAAGCACAAAACACGCGAGAGGCTAAAGTGCAAGTTGACGTAAGAAGGAGAGACGATGACGACCGAAATCCCCCCCCCCCCCCGATTAGTCTTGAAAATGTCTCGTTTTCTTTCCGAAAATTAACGTCGACCGATGAAAACGGTGCTCTGTTGCTTTGCACGTGTACGACGCGGATCGTCGAATCGTC